AAATCGGAGAGTGCCGTCCTTCTTTTTTACCAGTACGACGGGAGACGACCATGGACTGTTCGAGGGTTGGATTACGCCATCTTCGAGCATCTGCTTCACTTGAGAACGTATAGCCTCTTGTTCCTTTTGTGATACTCGGTAGGCGTGTTGACGTATGGGTCGCTCAGAATGGTCAGTGACAATGCGGTGCTTTACGGTTGGCGTTTGTTTTATCTTGGATGTAGACGCGAAACAGTCGCTAAACATGTGGAGGATACAGCGGATTTGCTCTTTCTGTGCACATGACAGCTTCGGATTGACATCGACTTCATCGGTTACCGCTGTGTCACTTTCAACGGCTGCAGAAATTGGGGCTATCGTCGCACACGCTTCATCGTCAATGGATTCGAAATGAGCGATAGTTGTTCGCTTGGCCAAATGTTGGTATGATCCACTAAAATTGGTGACCAACAACTCAGTCATCCCACGTTTAAATTGAATTATGCCGCGGGCAACACAGATTTGCTGACACAAGAGCACCGAAAGGTTGGCTTCAGCGATACCACTACTGTCATGGTCTATGTCGCCCTGTACTGTAACGAACATACTGGTGCGTGGCGGAAGTGTGACGGTGTCGTCGACAATGCGAAGCGCAGTCTTCTGCGGATTGGTATCTCTAGGCTTCGGGCCATAGTCGTCAGCAAACGTTACGAGGCAGTCTCGAAGATTTATAACAGCGCCGTGCTCACGAAGGAAATCCATGCCAAGGATTACTTTCCGGGAGCATTCGGGAAGCACAACAAAAGAAGCAACAAACGTCGACTCACAGATTTGCAGCCTTGCGGTGCATCTCCCGATTGGTGTCAAGAAATGACCACCGGCTGTCCGAAGGTTTGGTCCATGCCCCCAAGGAGTCGTGACTTTCCTGAGTTCAGCCACAAGTTCAGCGCTGATAACTGAGTAGTCGGCGCCGGTGTCGACTAGAGCAGTCACTGGATGGTTGTCGACACGAACGGCAATGTCAGCAGAAACGGGTTCGTCAGCGATGTGAGGTGTCGGCTGAAAGGAATCGTCGAAGGTCGGTGGAAGGGTCGGAGGAGGCTGTTTTGACGATAGCTTAACAGCGGTCCCACCCCCGGAGGCCGCTGATTCTAGTTTCCCCGGCGTGGACTTGGGGACCTAGCGGATCGTCCCGCAACAACATCGGCGAAAGTGGAGTATTGATTCGCGGACGTAGAGCGTCGAGGAGACGGAGAGCGTGATTGGCGTCTCTGAAGATTCGGAGACGGTAGACTTGCCAAGTATTCTGCGATGGCGCGGGGTCGTTCGCCGTCCCTGGGCCGACGAGCGTCTGGCCGAAATCCAGGTAGGCCCATCTGTCTGTACGAGCACTCCCGGTACAGGTGACCTGGCTCACCACAGTGGTAGCATAGTGGCCGATTGTCGGAAGCGCGCCACACGCTAGATTTACGCAAATTGGGTCGCGGATTCTCATAGTGTGGTGGGCCCGAGAAGTACTGCGGCATCTGCAGGCAAGTCAGTCCTTGGTTTTCATAGCGTGGCCCGCCCGAGAAGTGCTGTGGCGTCTGCAGGCTAGTCGGTCGGGGGAAATAGCTGGCTGCCGGTGCAGGAGTACGTACAGCTTCCGCATACGTTAGCAGAGGAGCTTCGGTTGGAGGTGGCGCTAATGGTCGTACCAGCTGCCGCACCTCTTCACGGACGACGTCTGTCAGAGCAGCCACTTGAGGCTGTGAAGGCACTGCGTGAAGCTTTTGCAGCTCGTCGCGTACAATGCTACGGACTAGCTCAGCAAGGTCTCTCACGCTCGTGACATCGGGTGTTACCAAGGCTGCTGACAGACATGCAAGGTTGTCGGACCGCTCATACTGCGAAGATCGCTGTCTCAGCATTCGCTCCATTGTCGTCGCTTCACGGAGGAATTCTGCCACGGTAGCTGGTGGGTTTCGTACAAGTCCTGCAAACAGCTGCTCCTTGACACCCCGCATCAGAATGCGCACCTTTTTGTCTTCCGTCATTGCAGAATCCGCTCGACGGAACAGACGAGACATCTCCTCAACAAACATGGCCACGCTTTCATTGGGTCGTTGATTGCGAGAATTGAGGAGACGTTCGGCTTGTTCTTTCCGGTCAGCGCTACCGTACGTGTTCCGCAGCTGAGTGCAAAACACCGGCCAGGTTGTTAGGGCGGCCTCGTGATTCTCGAACCAAATACGCGCCGAATCCTCCAGGTAGAAATAGACATACCGCAGTTTCCGGTGCTCGTCCCACTCGTTGGCGACGGCGACTCGATCGTATTGGTCCAGCCAGTCTTCAACGTCTTCGTAGGGCTCCCCATGGAAGGACTTTGGCGTTCGGGAGGCTGGTAGCCATGGTGCTGGCGGAGTCGCGGATGGTTCAGTCTGGCTTGCAGTTGTCGCATATGCCATGGTTCTGGAGCGTTCCGGAAGAGGGCTGAACTGGGGTGGTAGGCCTAGTTGCCGCCGACTGCGTCGAAGGTTGGCTGTTTCTACTAAGGCGTCAATGTTGGGACCGAGATCTTCCTCGTGGTAACAGTGCATAGACTATTACCCAGCAGCTCCACCAGTGTCACGTTACAACGTAACTGTAACCTGCTGATAAGGGCACACAAGGACGTCAAACTGATTCGAACAACGGCAGTACGACTATTGTTTTTCTCTGCACGCGCATCTTTGTCCTCTTCTGAACAGCGGCACATACAAGCATGCTAGCATCTGTGGAAATAATAGTTTCAGAACTTGTACTCGTGGCAATATATATATATATATATATATATATATATATATATATATATATATATATATATATATATATATATATATATATATATATATATATATATATATATATATGTATATATATATATATATATATATATATATATATATATATATATATATATATATATATATGGCTTATATGCAGAAGAATAAGTTCGGTTGCCGCAAGGTTATAAATATAAAAGTAGATGCGCTTTCACATAACACCTTGATTATTCAGCCGACGTTTCGACGGGGAGCCCCGACAATGATTATGCCTTGAAAAAGACGGGGCTCCCGTCGCAACATCGACTGACTAAACAAGCTCTACACTTCTTACTTTCTGGCAATGTTCTTGACATCTTACATTAAGGCACCTGCCTGTCTGACCTGCGTACTCTAGTCTCCAACACAAAAGGTATTCTGTAAACAATTCTTGTTGCGCACTTAACTAACTTTTTTACGGTGCTCAATCTTGCAATCACTCCCAGTACTTCCTACGAGACTAGTTCAGACACAAATCATGCTATGCGAAATTACAATGTGAGCAATAAACTTTTCATCCGGTGAACGTGTAACGTGGTGCTTGTGTTCACAATGAAGGACGCGAACGGGATCCTGTAAACCATGAAATTTGTTATGTTGGACGTTGTGTCTCATTTTATAATAGCAACAGAAGCACTAATTACATTTTTAAGGTGAATTCGTATCGATAGAGGGCTTCTACAGTGCAAATGTTTGCCTCAAAAGTTATCAGCACAGCAGCTTGAAAGCTTCTAGTCATGGCACTGATGCTACAATACAGGCTAGACTGAAAATGAAGAGTTGTTGATCGAGCGAAGGCAGGTTGACGATGGAACTGGCTACAAGTATTAAAAAATTTAGCGCTCGTAATCACCTTGTGTAAGCGATCAACCTGGTTTTAAAATGTTCTTGTTGATTTTCTCATAACTTCTTGTTCTGGTACTTTTTCCAGGCACACAGTCATAACTTTTTGCAAAGAAACACTTGTGCATTCAAAATTCACATACTTTCTTATAAAGGTAGGAGACGTGTAATGAACTTCAGTAAGCAAAATTCTGCTAGAAGATTTACAATGGCTGGCTGTAATACAAAGATATCTCTATAGCGCCGGTGCATATTTCGGGGTATTTAGTTACCATGTTTCGAATATTTATCCGTTCTCATTCGCTTTAGTTCATAGCGCAGGCCTAAAAGTGTTTTCATGCCACTACAAAAATAAACATTCTTTCGCACGCATAATTTAAGATGGGAGCGTTGGCATAAGGCCCGCTTTCAATGACATATAAGTTAAAATTAATAAAAATGGGACTTCCTTCACTGACTCACATGTGCCAAAAAATGTGTTTCATATTAGAGGAGAATAACCTTCTGTTATCGTCGCTTTTTAAAAAACATCCAACCATTGGCTTCATTCCTTGAGCACTGGAGAACACCTTGAAATGAAATGTTACCTGGGACGTGTTTCATGCTTTTACATTTATCCTATTCTCGTTGTAGAGCAGTTTGCGGTTTGAGTTTCGCTTTGTGGTGTATATCGCAGAAAGTAAAAAAAGATTAAGTTTCTGAAAAAATGTGTAAGAAAACATGAACAGAGAAACAACGCTCTTTAAATCAGCTGATATGAGAACTTTGTTGCAGGCCCCGTACAATGGTCAAAAGCCATTTCTATAGAACGACTAAGCGTCGTACTCTGAAGCGTACGACTCACATCTGCAGTTTGGAACGAGCCACATCAGAGCAATCACGCTGCCGATAATGTTACTTACTTGCAGTTTCCCTCTTTGTTTATCAACGCAGGCCGTGATGACTCCTTCATGTGTCAGAAGCGCGGGGAAAAAGTACGATTTCCCGGATTGGTGCATTTTATACTGCGAATTTATTCTCGGTTCGTAGTATCATATCATGCCAAGAACGGTCCACTTTTTTTTTCGCTAAACAAAACAGAAAGCCTCTGATGGCCAAATTGGCTGTTGCATGCGTGGTGACACTCATGAATAAATATTCAAAATAAGCTCGTCGCTGGCACCGCGCATGCTAGGGTGGGGCTTGTTTATCACTGAAGATGTCGCATGTGCAGTTCGCAGCTCATTTTGCGTAGTTCTAGATATGAAAGTCGACCGCTGCACTCTCTATTGAGATGCCCCGCTCTGGCGAGTACATGATCGTGGAGACGTTATGCTGTCATATTATGTCACTTACCTAAAGTACCGCCAAGGTTTTTCCCCCGTCTAATTTTAACCAGACCTGCACTAAGAAACAAAAGAAACATTTTATACGTGACTTACCACACCAATTGATTTCACTGATGTTGGTATACACAAAAAAAAGTATCTTTCACAGACATAAGATGTTTTTCATAAATGACAGCTATGACTACAAATAAAAAAATAATAAACACGGGGTCATTCACTTCATATTAGTTGTTTGGCTAATTAGAATTACTAGTGGTTGTGGCCTAGATGGTACGGCATGGAAAAACTTTATTTAGCTCCGTCGTGGCGTGCACTAGCACACCACTGGTCCCGCCTAACCTTTCCTCCGTGTCGTGGGCCCGTTTAACTGCCCATGGTTGTGTCATTAAATCCAGACTGCGTAACACAGCATCCCACCAGGACGATGTTATGTCCTCAACCCGTAACACAGGGCACTTTGTGAGCATGTGGACTTAGCTGGCAAAATCAGGGGCAGAGCGCGCATTTGTGGGATGTCTGAATTTTTGGATATATCTTGTGCAAGAGTGCGGTAACTGGGATACGCACCGACTTGCAATCACTCAACCTGATGCCAGATGCCGTATAGAGTGGACAAACCGACAAATGTACAGACAGACAGACAGACAGACAGACAGACAGACAGACAGACAGACAGATAGATAGATAGATAGATAGATAGATAGATAGATAGATAGATAGATAGATAGATAGATAGATAGATAGATAGATAGATAGATAGGAGTAGGAGGAGGAAGGGAAGAAATGAAAAGCAGGGAGGGCAACGCTACGCAGGTCCGGCTTGTTACCCTGCATGGGGGAAAGGGGAGGTGATTCAAAGACAAGAAAAAGGGAAGAAGTGAAGGGCAAAGGGTGGGTACATGTGAGCTTGTCCATTGCACGCTTATAAGCAGTGATGTTCCAATCGTCTATGTGACCTTGTCCATTGCACGCTTATAAGCGGTCACGTTCCGGGGCTGCCGGGCAACGCAACGCTGCAGACACGCTTCACGTCGGCTCACCTTTTTATGAATGTTTTCCGCAGTTCTTTCAAGTCAAATACCTGGCAATCGACCACCACTGGATAGAGCGGGTCCATCCGAACGCTTCAACACGAAAAACCTGGTGAGAGACCTTTTTTTAAGGTTTTTCAATGTGAAAAACCACCCGAGCTACAAATGCGCCCAGCTAAGCCTACACCGACAAGGCCGACGCCGGCCTCGGGAAGCTTGATCAACGGTGCCGAGTTGTAAGCCAAAGGATTGGACGCACCTCCGAAATGGGCGTAGATGATGCAGAAGTGGGGGAAACTTCAAGGAATGATTCCGGAGGGGACGATAGCGATCCGACGAGACGCGACGCTGACGGTGACGTGGAGGGCTGGATCGAAGTCACGTATAAAAGGAAGGGCCATGTGAGCCCTGGTGAAGAGACAGCACAAGAAGTCCGACGCTCAAGAAGTCCGACGCACAGAGGTGGGAAGAGCATCGTGAGCAAGATTTTACAAGCAAGCAAGATGTCAAGGCTACCTGCAGATGACATCGAGATAATCGTCAGACCAAGAGACGGGCTGAGCATTAGACACACGTGCAGAGCCAGCCTTGACGGAGCGATACGCCAAGAAGCAGGGGTGAGCAACGATGAAATCTTCACGATCTGCCCCAACCCTACACAAAACATTGTGGTGATCAGCACACCAAATGAGAAGATGGCGGCGAAATTCGTCAAAATGAAGGATTTAAATATCAACGGAAAGAAGTACGAGACCGACGCGTACGTCTCGGCACCGGAACACATGGCCAAAGGAATAATCCGCAACATTTCCTTGAAGTAAACACATGATCAGCTCATGCATGCACGGGTGAACGCGAGGAACCCTTCTTCTGCGTACGCCAAGAGTCCGGGGAGCACGACCACCGTGATACTACTGTACGAAGGCAAGGCAACAGGATCCCCATGTGGGCTTACTTCAACAGCATCCTGATGAAAGTTTCCCTCTACAGGAAGCAAATAGACTTTTGTAAAGAGTGCGGGAGGCTCGGGCACAGGCCCGATGTGTGGCCCAGACCGACAGACAGGTTGTGCCCAGCGTGTGGGGCCAAAAATCCTACCAGAGACACTGAATGCACACCCAAGTGCAAGCTCTGCGGAGACGCACACCCCACGGCAGACCGGACTTGCAGAGATAAAGATAAGACGCCTTACTTCGTAAAGCAATGAAGGTGGGCTGCGAGGAGAAACGAGAAAGAACTCCAGCGGGAAGCCGACTCACCAGACCAGGACACCTGGGGAAGCAGCAGCACACAACCAGCCCGTGGACCCACATCAAGCTCCAGATCCAGATCCAAGTCCAGGCTAGGAGCCAGGGGACTACGTCGCTTGCGGTGAAGGTCCAGAAGTAGACCCAGGACCAGGAGTGGGCCGAGATCCACCTCGAGGGGCAGGACGCCCGAAGCAACAACGAAGCAGCAAGGAGAACAGAAGACGCCAGACAAGGTGGGCTGGTCAGACGTAGTGGCCAATCGTGATTCGGCAAGGTCCGGCAATAATAGTTGCTAGGGATAATTACAGAGACATACAGAAACGTGTAGAGGTATACAGAACGGAAAACTAGCTACTCGGAGAAGAGCTAGAAAAAGTAAAAAAAGCAAAACAGTGAATCAGCTAAATAGTATGAACTACAGCAAACACTTATTGAAGTATTCATGAAAATGCAGATACAGACATCGCCTCCGTCGACCGCCATCGCGGCCGTCTCCATGCCAGCGACCAAAACTACAGGGGAGGGAGAGAATGAAGAGGTAGATATAGTAGCTGTGAAAACAGAGCAACCAGGCGTCAAGCTAAAAATCCCGCTTACGAATACCAAAGAGCAAAATGACTTGGAAAAAAAGGTCTGAGGCCCCGTCCTAGCACGAAAAAAACAGACGTCCTCGAGGACATAATAAACTGTCGGAAAAAAGGAAGAAAGTGTTCGAGATGCTGGTCGTGCGACTTAGCGACAGTGAAGCGAAGAGCAAGGCTCTGGCACTAAAACACGACAAGCGGTTCCAAGAGCTACAGAAGAAAATTTCTTAGACATGGCGGGCACCAAAATGAGAAAACTCATCATCTGGCAGTGTAACTGCCGTGGCTTCTCTCATAAAAAAGCATCAATGGCGCAACTAATCAAAATCACCACAAAAAGGAAAAAAATCTGACGTGATCGTTTTGCAGGAGACATTTGACCACGCCAAAATTGCCGGTTATGCCACCCACAAACAACGCCCACAAGGAAAGGGGAGAGACATAGTCGTGACCACATCAGTGAAGAAGGGGCTAATTGCTATCCCACACATTACGAAACAAGTCGCGGATATCAACCACATTCTTATAGAAGTCGTGCAACGCAGCAGAAAGGAAAGCAGCACCTTTGTCCTGAACGTATACAGTAGCCCGTCTAAAAAGGGGCTAAAGCATAATTTCGAATAACTAATTAACGAAATGATGAACATCGCAGGTGACAACCGACTTGTTATCGGAGGAGATTTTAACGCTCCACACACGCAGTGGGGATATGAACACTCGTCGAAGAAAGAAAAAAACCTTGCCGACCTCATCGAAAAGACCGGACTGGCCATTCTGAATGAGCGAGACTCGCACCCCAGAATCGGTGTAGGTCTACACAGGGACACTACGCCGGACTTAACCCTCTGCAAGAACGCCAGGCGAATCACGCGGGAAAACACCTTTGAATACCTGGGAAGTGATAACAAAATCCTCAGCATCGCCCTAGGCTATCCTCCTACCAGGAATGGCAAACACACAATCAGGCACGTAGATGGCGACAAATTCCGCAAAAGCAGAAACGAGAAAGAACAGGGACCGATCAAAAACATAAAAGAATGGAACAGGGAACTTCTACGAGACGTAGAAAAAGCCACAACCGAAATAGAATGGGATAACTGGTTGGCTCGACGAGAAGAGGAAGATGAGTGTGGCGAAACCCTCTCGATGCGGATGGACAGCAGGCTCGCACACCTTGTCGAAGGCAAAAACGTTATTCGGAAACGGCTGCATAGGCAAAAACACAATCGAAATTTAGAGAGAAAACTCGCCGAGCTCAACAAGCACATCGAAACACACTGCACCCAGCTATACCATCAGGAACGAGACAAAGTGTGCGACGCCATGAACGATAACATAAACACAAGCAAGTCATGGAAAATCCTCAAGCACCTGTTGGAGCTGTCGGCCATCGAAACGGCGGTGAAAGTGGAAATGACCAAGATAAGACACAGGCATAAAGGGAACATCCATCAGATGGGTGATGAAATCGTCAAGCTCTACCTCAGCAGACGCCCGGCAGTCGAACACCAGGAATACTCAGGCTCTCCCAACGAAGATTTTCACAGAGACTTTTCACAGCAAGAAATCAGGGCAGTCCTGCAGACTATCAAGATCAAGTCAGCTCTAGGTCCCGACAAAGTGTCCAACAAGATGCCCCGGAACCTGGGTGACCAGGGAACGAGCAGTTTGACAGACTTCATCAAAGAGTGCTGGAGAAACGGGGAGATACCCAACGAATGGAAGAAATTCGACATGATCCTCATTCCTAAGCCGGGTAAACCTTCAGAAATCCAGAACATGCGGCCCATCTCCCTGATTTCTTGCGTCAGTAAAGTAATGGAGCATGCTTGCCTGAACAGGGTTAACGGCTACCTTGAGTCTAACAACGTATACCGCAGCAACATGATGGGCTTCAGAGGTTCTACACACAAGTTGTCATGATGCAACTAAAGCAGCATAGACCCCATTGGACGAGGCATGAAGGCAATAATCGGGCTAGATCTAAGGAAGGCCTTCAACATGGCCGAGCATGCAGCCATTCTAAAACAAATTGCGCAACTCGGCCTAGGCGAGTGCGCGTACAAATACATTAGAAATTTTCTTACGGGAAGAACTGCCACGGTTACACTTGACAAGGAGGAGAGCATCCAAGTAGACATGGGCAGCACTGGCACACCGCAAGGGTCCGTCGTGTCACCGATGCTGTTTAACCTCGTCATGAATAGATTATCAGAAAAATTAGAGCGAGTCGAAGGCATCAATCACACAATTTATGCAGACGACATTACGATTTTGACCATGCAAGATACCAGTGAAGGCGAGATGGAGAATAGACTTCAAGAGGCGGTGGATGCACTCGAGAGTTATCTGGATGTCACCGGATTGGAATGCTCACCGGGCAATTGAGAACTGCTACTATACCACCCTAAAAGACCAGGCATACATTGCAGAAACGCAGCAGAATTACGCAAAAGAATCAGGATAACCACTAGAAATGGCACGGCGATACTCTTGGTTCAGAAGATCAGAGTCCTGGGTCTCTAGATCAAAGCCAGGGGAACCATTGGGGAAACTATAATGCGCCTGGAAAAGAAAGTCATGGCGGCCGTTAGGCTAATACAAAGAGTATCCAATAAACGAAGGGGCAATAAAGAAAGAAGCGTTGTACGACTCGTCCAGGCCTTGAAGATCAGTCATGTCGCGTACGTAGCGGCGTTCATCCACTAGAACAAAGCCGAGAAAGACAAAGTCAACGCGCTGATTAGAAAAGCGTACAGAGCTGCGCTGGGTCTACCGCAATACACAAAGAACGAAAGGCTGCTACAACTCTGAGTACATAACAAGCTGGACGAGATCACTGAAGCACAAAGAATAGCGCTACTCGAACGATTGTCTGGAACCATGGCGGGTAGAGAAATTATTGAAAAGATCGCCATTAATTACCACGCAATGAAAAGTCCCAAGACGCAAATTCACCCGGACGTGCGGTCCGCGATAGTTACGGAAAACAACCCAAAAACTATGCACCCTGCACACAACGTTGAGAGACAAAGATGCCGCACGAAAATGATCGTTAAAAACCACGGCACGCGGGAGGGTGTGCGTGTTGTAGACACCGCCCGGTATTCCCGAAATAATGATATAAGTACTAAGGTTGTGCATGGCTCCTTCTTCGCAATGGCGGTCATAGACACAAAAGGGAAGACCTTGACCGCGGGCTCCGTAAGTACCAGATCGTCGGAGGCAGCGGAATAAATGGCCATTGCACTGGCCGTAGTCAATGGTCGAAAACACGACAAAATAATAATCAATGACTCCAAGATGGCCGTTAGGTATTTCACAAAGGGAGGGGTCTCCACCGAAGCAGCCAAAATCCTGAACCGCAGAGCAGAATACTTCCGGAACGGCAAACTTGTACCCAAATACCTCAAGTGGATCTCGGCGCACATGGGGGAATTAAACATCGAAGACACGACCATCCTTCAAAACCTCAACGAGAAGGCCCACCGAACCATGCGAGAACTAACCCACCACGGCTGGGACAGCGATGGCCCGGCCCCCCGCATCGACCGCAGAAGGGGGGACGACTCCGGTGGAGGCGATGGGGACAATGGAGGTGATGACAATAATAAATATGCGATACAAGACGACCGAGACAGACTGGTCACGTATCATGACATATTGGCACATTATAAGCGACAATGAGAAGCATATCCGCCACCACACAAACAGCTAGACAGATCTCAAGAAACAGATTGGCGAAGATTGCAAACCAGAACCTTTTAAAATCCAGTACACCTAAACAGAGTAAATTCCAGACAATACACACAAACAAGTTGTACCCTCTGTAAGCACGAACGCGCAGATATGGCACATATTCTATGGCAATGCACACAGGTCACAGAATTATACTGATAGGACAATATAAAACCAGACCTTCTCGAGAAGCGTTGCCCAATTGCGCTGACTAGCTCAGATCTGCACAACCAACTGTCGGCAATCCGGCGGGCCCGGACAGTGGTGGAAAGGCTACGCCTTACCGCACAAAACGTCGGTGTGGCCTGAGCTCGGGTCGGTAACCCTGCATGGTTTCTTTTTTTATTAAGTTTTTTCCGTCCGTCCGTCCGTCACGTTCCGGTCGTCTTTAAAAAAACTAGCAATGCCCACGTCACTTTGCTGGCCTGCAACGCGTAGAGCTATGAACCGAGGATCTTCGGAAAAAATAGATACTCAAAGAAGTTGGCACCTGGTTCGCTAAGAAAGACGCCTCTCATGCATGAAAACTCAAATGAGTCTGCATGTGTGGGCCTGTAATTGCAGAACATGGCCATGTACTGAACGGCGCTAACCGATGGCGCACACATTGTCATTCTTGTTGATGTCAAAATAGTCGACACGCCTTAAAACAGTCTCTGCTTGAAGCATTGTTGCAAGTCATTCTCTCGAAAAAATACGAGACAACAAATAAAGCGGGGTCGTTTCTTCAAGCTGGCTGGGTAAGAGTGAGTTTAAATTCAAATGTGTTATTTAATACAGGTGTGCCGGCAGATAGATTCTGAAACCATAAGCGTAGGAGGGAAGAAGGTCACCATTTATAAAATGCGAATTGGAACATCAAGCTGATTCCTCCTTTCAACATGTACAACTACGAAATTTCACTTATTTGCCAGCGTCCTTACATTGTATTCAGGTATCCCACTCTCTCCTACTAGTATTTTTTTTTATTTTAGAATCTGTACCTCTAAGTATTTTTGCCTTTGCAGCATGCACACTATTTCAGCAATGAAGCGGTAGCAGCAATAGTTCTTTGTCCTACGGTAAAGGCCACTGAGGCAGCACAACCTGCTCTTGATGTTTTACATGCAGTTTCCACGGTGAAATACGGACTCTGGTAGCGTTTTCCATGCATTACTGAAGCAGTAGTTTAGGTTATGTAATAAACTTTGTGTAAATTACCTGACTGCCATATAGAGGATGTCGGACTTCTTGTGTACTTCGCTGGTACGTGCCAGACTCCCCAATGCAGACAATGTTTGATCTACCATGATCCGTCCGTCGCCATGTATATGTAAATAGTCTGTTTTGGCCTGAAAGGTAATGCTCTAATCAGCATGGACGCAAAATATCCTAACGTGTCTTCGTTACCTGCAGCCCTTCTATTGCTGTTAACGCTATCCTGGCGGGTGGCAAGAGTTGCTGCAAGCGGAGGCTCACCTGAAAGGGTAGACCAAAACAAAACTGTGCATCTATGGCTGTAAACATATAGTGTGCTACAAGCAGAAAATAGTAAAAAAGTGTAAGGCAGCTTTGCACTATGCAGTCAAGTCTTAAGAAAGTGGAAAACTTGGCAGCCTTGTTTTTTATTTCTTTTTTTTCAATCTGCGTCATTCTCATTCTCATTTTCGTGTTTCTGTAGTTTTTTTTTCTTAATTTTTCTACCTATTTCCTCTCTGTTTATTTCTTTCTTTATCTTGCACTACTGGTTTTCTTCCCATTTTTTTCTATTCCGTGTCATTCTATGTTGACATTGTATCCTCTTTTTTTAATTTTTTACGTGTTTTTGGCTGAGTTACGGCTATTAACATATCTAGCCCGGTCCCCCGAAAAGGTGGCGAACTTTATAAAGGTATTGCGACAACGCATCACGTTGGTGGTCGCTTTCTCTATAAAACACAACTGATAATTTCCGATGTAGGCGTATTTATACACACCGACTGTAGGCGCGTAGGTAATGAAACCGTGAAGGCTAACGTAGGTATTCATGTGGTTTGGAAAAGAAGAAAGCAACAGAATATTCTCCTCGATATATATTCTTGAGAAAAACTATATGGCATAATTTCCGTATGTATCTCGTCATGATAAGAACTGTGCAGTAAGACGGGTAGCAGTCATTCCACATCGCCTCTGAATCCTTCGCAAAAGTTATGAAGCAGCCTAAGGCAAGATCAGTTCGTAATAAAAACAGGAATCAGTATTTACGAAGCATTTTCTTTAACTAAAGTCGACTTGGAGAAAGCAGCGTATGTCACTTCTAAAATCTGCATACCACACAAGCACAGGAAAGAGAAATAAAAGGCGTCTGTTGTACAAACGCTTGCGAGAAAATGTGGGAGGGGCATTGAATGCAGGAACGTTCTCCCCCGGACGCCTCGCCGGGCTCTGGCGACGAGTTGACTTTACTGGACCAGGTCCTGCTTCAAGATCGCCGCCTCCCAGTATTTGCTGGGGTGGTTTGCGTCGACATTTGTGGCTGCCCCTTTTAGCGCTGGGTCGCTTGCCTTGCAGTGCACTCGGTGTGCCAAAGTATCTACCATATAGAGGCGTGAGCAGATATAGCTGTATCTCGCATGATGGATTCTCGGTGCTGTGACGGTATCTTGCTTTTATGTTGTTCGTCCGCATATAGAGCGGTTCCATATCATGTCGTAGCACTACTCGTCCTGTGCATGAGAGCTCGAGTCTCTCGACCTGGTTGTAGAGGGGGTGCTTCGTTTAGCCCACCATATGTGAGCTCCCATGCGAAGTAAATGGTCAGTGGAGGCGGTTGGTGGCAGTCCTAGGGCGACCGATGGGGCCTTTCGTATATATATATATATATATATATATATATATATATATATATATATATATATATATATATATATATATTATATATATATATATATATATATATATATATATATATATATATATATATATTCAGCAGGAAGTTCAAGGGGTCTGGTACGTATAAAGAACACAAGCGAGTACACGTACGAAAGAGCAATACTTTTATGCCAACGTTTCAGCCGTGGCACGGCCTTCGTCAGGGAATGACGAAGGCCGTGACGAAGGCCGTGCCACGAAGGCCGTTCCCTGACGAAGGCCGTGCCACGGCTGAAACGTTGGCATAAAAGTATTGCTCTTTCGTACGTGTACTCGCTTGTGTTCTTTATATATATATATATATATAGATCAGTCAACCTAATTTTACAACAAACGCTGTTATGTAAATATAACACAGTAAGGTGGCCGTAGGTTTCCGCCACCACCACTGCCGATGTCTAAAATTACAGTCACACAAAATATTAAGAATTAACAAAATAAGAAAACCGCCAGGCCTGCACAGAAAGACGGCAGCAGTCATTCCACATCGCCTCTGAATCCTTCGCAAAAGTTTGAAACAGTCAAAGGCAAGATCAGTTCGTGATAAAAAGAGGAATCAGTATTTACCAAGCGTTTTTTTTAAACTAAAGCCGACTTGGAGAAAGCAGCGTTTGTCACTTCTAAAATCTGCATACCACACAAGCACAGGAAAGAGAAATAAAAGGCGTCTGTTGTACAAACGCTTGCGATAAATGTGGGAGGGGCATTGAATGCAGGAACCATCTCCCCCGGACAGCTCGCCGGGCTCTGGCGACGAGTTGACTCTACTGGACCTGGTCCTGCCTCAAGATCGCGGCCCCCCAGTATTTTCTGGGGTGGTTTGCGTCGACATTTGTGGCTGCCCTTTTTAGCGCTGGGTCGCTTGCTTTGCAGTGCACTCGGTGTGACGAAGTATCTACCATATAGGAGCGTGGGCAGATATAGCTGCATCTCGCATGATGCAATAAAATGCCATGCGCGAATGTATTGGACTGAAGTCCGCTGGTTCGTGTCTTCGTTTCTCGTGAGATTTGGATGTGCAGGATTCTCAGAGCTGTGACGGTATCTTGCCTTTATGTTCTTCGTCCGCTTATAGGGTGGTTCTATATCATGCCGTAGCACTACCGTCCTGTGCATGAGAGCTCAAGTCTGTCGCCTGGTTGTAGAGGGGAGTGCTTCGTTTATTCCACCATATGTGAGCTCCCTTGCCAAGTAAATGGTCAGTGGAGGCCGTTCGTGGCAGTCCTAGGGTGACCGCTGGGGCCTTTCGTATATATATATCAGTCAAACTAATGTTACAACAAACGCTGTTATGAAAGTGTAAAGCAGTAAGGCTGCTGTAGTTGTCCGCCACCACCACTACCGATGTCTGTAACCACAGTCACACAAAATATTAAGAAAAAACAAAGTAAGAAAAACACCAGGTCTGCGCAGAAAGCCACAGCAAAGCCGCAGTGAAAGCTATAAGAGTGCTGTTTCTAGAAAACGTTGCAAACTCTTATGGCGCTACTAATACAAGTACGTTTGCAAGGTACGCAATGCTCTATAATTGATTCAATGGCTGAAGACGATCAAGAAGTATCGCTGAGCCCCTTTTAATGGGTTGGAAGCATCCATCAACCCACTCGTGATCGAATTTATATTTGTGATGCCTTGGGTTACAAAGGTTGTACTGCGTGATGCTTGGTTATTTTACTATGCGATCACGTTATATTGCGTATGTTAAAGCTGTTCTTTCCCGGCATGCTACTCGTATAAGATGTTTGTGCGTAAGGTTTTCGAGGACCGAATTGCTAAGTTGTAGAACACTGGGCTGACACGGAACGGACCTAGGTTCGGGTCCGTTTGCCCTAGTGTGCACGCTGGTTTGTTTGACATGGTTTGTCTTTTGCAAGCGGGTATGTTTGACATTTCACGCGTTGCGAGCGTAAGAAAGATGGTTATACGTGCAATGGGTCGATGACGTTAAAATTAAAAAAGCACGTGTGTATTTGCTCTTGTATGGAAACGCATTGTTCCTATTCAGCAAAGCTACACAAATTTGAAGAAAGAAACGTATGTTAAAAAAAGGTAGTGGAAAAATAAAGTTATAAACTTCGCTGGTGCACAGAGAGAAGCTTGGGGTGCACCTGATGCCCTACCTTCATGCATGCCCAGTTTCACTCAGAGTACGTCTCCCTGGCGGGGACAACTTCTTAGTTAAGTGCACCGAGACATCGAAGTATCCTTTACTATTTAGATGGGACGCTCAGTGATTCCATTGATCTATAAGTAGTAGGTGGCTTGTATGGCTGTATCTTATGATAGGCTACGTTAGATGAGCCGTAATGGTCCCACTACTGTCGGAGACGAGAACCTCTGCAGCACCATGATGAAGAACGAGGTCCTAAAAAAAGAATTTCGCTGCCTCAACGGCACTTCTGTTCGGCAGCGCCCCCTTTTCGGCCTAGTGGGAGATGTAGACTGTGGCTATGGCGATTCGTTTATTTCTAAAAGTCGAAGTTGCGAACATTATTTTCTCTAAAGGTCGGCGAAGGGCTTTGATGGACATGAGAACTTCGGCGTGCCTGGTAGGTGGTGCATTCCGTCTCTATGGTCTCGGTAAGCCCTTATGTAGTAAGTGACACAGTGAGTGACACGGGAGGCGAGGCAAATAATACTTCTCATACATTCTAGCGAGCACAAGGAAAAATTCATTTAGGAATGCCAGTACGGCATGTTGGTATGAATTCATAATGAAAAAAGCACCAAAAGTACAAAATAGGGGTCACTTAAGCTTCACCTTTAAGAGTTGAACGTGATAGCGAAATTCGGCCTCTAGTGCGCTCTTCAACCACTAAGTGCTTACTTATTCATATGTTGTGTTACATACACACACACGCACACAGCAGATCATATCAGCGCACGCACGCCGAATGGTATATACAGTTTTTTTTATCTAAAGCAAGAGCTGCAAGGCATCCAAGATACACCCCGTGCGCACGCCATCTTGGAGGCAATAAAGAGCCTCACAATGCCTCAGAGATAACGGCACATTATCTAGCATTTGCTGTTTGCTTGATCAGCGCCTCTAGAAAGGCATGACATGTTTTTCGCTAGGATGGACATAGTTGTACTGTTTGTAGAGCTGTTTGAAAGTTCTTGTGTGTGTTTTAGCGGCGGTGGCTGCACTATCCCGGTCTTTTTCGACGTAGTTTGAGGCTTCCCACAAGCGCCTACTAATCATCGGGTGGGCTCGTTTTCGTTGTGCACCTGTCGAACAAATGCGTTAAAGGGGCCATGAAACACTTTTTCAAGTAACCACAGAATGAATTCACTAGAAGATCTTATTGCCTGTCGAAATATTGCCTTTGTAACTCCACAGTGCGAGTGGAGTTACAGCGGTTTGTCACACGCTGCCATTGCATTATCTCTTCTCTAGTCCCGACGAAAGCGCTGAAAGCTAAGCAGGGAGGTGTGGCAAGGGCAGAGAAACTATCGCGCCTCGTGACCTCGAGCATTTATTTTTTTTCTTCGAATGTTTGGCTTTCTTAGTGGGATCGTTCGCACACATGGACAAGTAGCGGCCTCCCGCGGTGATCTTGGTGACTTGAGTTTTCGGTCACAGACGAACAGACTATTTTTCGCTCACAAACAACGGGGCTGACACCGATGGCGGGATTTCTGCGACACGAGCTCTCTAACGCTATCGCGTTAAAAAGTACAAGGGAGTGCTCGTCATGTGTCCTTTCTAAGTGTTTGTACTTTTAGGCGCTTGTTGCAATATGGAAATATCCAAGGTGTCCAGTCATGGGATTGTTGCGCAAAGCTTCGAGAACATCTGGAAAATCTTGAACGTTCTACTAAAATGCTGTTGGCCCGAAGTGACGAGAATTTTTTTAATGAAAAGCTGCTTTGCAAGAAATACAATGCGAGTCCTCATTTGAATGCATTTGAAAATCCTGGAGAAAGCACATTGGCGTCGACTGCCTGCGTTTGTGCTCTTGTCACTTCACCGCCGCATCACGACTAGAACGATTACTGCTTCTTGGGAACCATAAATGCCGACGACTTTTCATAACAACAGATAGACCATGCCAGAACTCAAGGAAATCGTGGAATATATCGAGGAGAGCACCGCAGGTGTGTTTAATGTGGTAGTTCTGCCGACAAAAACGAAAAGTGTTGTTCCAAAGTTTAATAATAATATGTGATGTTCAACGTCCTAGCACATAGATAACAATATGAGAGGCGTGGTAGTGAAAGACTCTCAAAACTTTGACCACCCTTGTCTTATTTTCGCAGTTCCGACAGCCCTTCTGCACTTTGAAGCGCATGGTCATGTGGTGTCTCTTCTTACGGTACAACAATCATCTCACCACGGAAGCAGAGTGTGGAGAAAGCGCTCTACAGCTCCAACCTCGCTGCGCAGTTACGGGACCCCCAGAACGCCAGCGACACGGTAATCAGGGATGGCCTGACCGTCTCGACGTGGGAGTCACCCGTGGTGGCGCCTCTCCCGTAAAGGGACTTTCCGAATCACCCCTCAATAAAGCTAATTGTATGCTGTTGTGTTATTCTTTAGTGTGCATCTCAATCTATCGTACATGGGCCTTAAGGGGTAGTGACGCAAAAGCCTTGGCCTCGCGTTTTTCTGCTGCAAGGCGTTGCTGGGAGCCTGTTAGTCATGACACGACGCATCGTTTGCTGCAGCACGCGACAGATAATTGATTACAGGCCCCTCACTATCAATCAGTTTCAGTTTCGGTTTGAGAGATTTTCAAAAAAACAGAGTGCAAAAGTAGCCATAGAGTGTGCAGCTCTTGACCACGTCCGCACACCAAACTGTGACGCACTTCCGCACGGTCTGCATAAAGAATACCTTTCGGGTAGGAAACGGGACTGGAATGTCGCCAAACACTTCACTTTCTCAGCGTGCGCCACGGCCACACACTCACAACCAGCCGCTGAGAAATATAGACTGCAAAAACTAACGCGGCAAAAAAAAGGCGGTTATGAAGTCAACATAACTTGTTTTGTTGACAATAGCGTGGTGACATGAGGGAAGTAGGGGGTCACCTCGGGGTCCCCTCCGATGGTGTCTACAGCGCTAAGGAGTTGGTCGCTCGAACAAACTTCAAAATGAATTTAAAATACCTTTCAAGACTATATTCGCTGTTGATATCTTCTAGATGACATACGAATGTTCACGAGAATCAACACCGCAGGCTCTCTCAGCCCCAAAATTTTGTGACACTACCCCTTTAAGCATTTTCGCCTCTACCGAAAACGAGGCGGCCGCTGCTCTTGATCTTGATCTTGATTTGATCTTGCGACCTCCGCTTCAGCAGTTGAGCACCGTAACGACTACACCAGCGTGGCAGGTGATAAAAAATTGAAGGTCCTATAAACCACAGAGTGTCGTTTCTGGCGCCCGCGTTGGCTCGGATGATGACACCGCCACTTTTCCTTGATGCCAAACATACGACAGTGTAGTTTACTAAAGAAACTGCCACTCAGAGAAGTCGTACGTGGCTGCAATACGCAATATAACTGCTTTATGACTGAGCCAGGCGACTAAACTTTTAGGGTCGGCATGAATTGTGGCTTCATTCTGTCTGCACTAACTTTCGATGTTGGTTCATTTGGGTCCATTACCTAATTGTTTGCTGTTAAACTTCCGAGCAAGCCTAAGGACTACCTTCTGTTTTCAAGCTCTTCTGACGTGCCAGTCGATGCATGCGCGTGCACAGCGCCCGCAAGCAGCCTGGTACTCAGACAGATAGTTCTACGCAACGTGCGGCACACCTGCTAAGATATAGTGACAAAGGTCTCGTTCTTGTTCACCTAGTTAGTTTTACAAAGTAATGGAGCAATCTGGCTTTACTTTCACCCACTGTGGGGGACTCGCGAAGGCGTCTTTGGTTTCATCATTCAGATAAAAAATTTACATGGTGTTAATTACTCACATAACTTTCCAATCAGAGATGAAATTGAGCTGCGCTTTCTGGCAAAGATAAAATTGGCAACGTTGCGTGCAGGTTGGCAAACGTGTGGCTAGCACGCTGTTCACGTAGCCTGCCAACAAACTTGACGCTATGGGCCAACTTCTAATGCAGATGCACTTCACATGAGCACGTGTGCTCATTTGAAATTGATAAAAACAGCAACCCGTGAGAAAATGAAGATGCGCTTTTCATCTTCGACCCCATGACACAACCTAAAGGTGTTCTGGAATTATGATAATTTCCTAATTGTTTTTGGCCTATGACTTCGAGCAAAATTTTATTATATGGTTTACGTTTCTACTGAGTGGTTGCCTGGAATGTTCCAATCTTACTCTGCCCCTGAGAGTGAAGATGTTCTACATAGACTATATGATGGCGCACAGAACAAACAATTCGTTCACTTATTTGCAACTAGCGTTGGACTTGAAGACGTAGCAAGAGGAGAGAAAAAACTGTGCACATACTTCCATTTTATCACTGATTCAAAATAACATTAGTTCTTTGTCAACACTAAAACTTGTTACATAATACCACTTCTCTGAAATTTGGGTACAAATATTGCAATAGGAGTGGATGGCTTGACTACTTTAGCTACTTTTAGCTTCTGTACTGACTCCCGTTTAAATCTCATCAACAGCGACACTGAAGTTCCTGGGCGTTCCTGTCCTCACTTACCGAATGCATAAAGAGCATAGCATAGGCTATGCGCTCTTCCGTTTCATTGCCGAAGTACGCGGTGTGATTTAGAGCGGTGATGAAGTGTGTCTCCACAGTATAGGATTCTGGGAGGTCACGACTTTCTGTAAACAAAAATGTAGCGTAAAGAAGAGATTGACAAGGATCATTCTCCAACCACATCTCGTATACTTCCACAGACATCAAAGCCTTCTTTTCTGAATAAATTTGTTAAATAAAAAACAAATACAAGCCCTTGATTTTTTTTGTTTTTCTCCTTCAGTCACAGTCAGGGTCTTGTTCTAGCAGACTTGATGCATCATCAACATCATCATCATCTACATCATCCAGACTACGCCCACTGCAATGCAAAGGCCTCTCCCATGATCTGCCAATCCACCCGGTCTTGCGCTTTCAATTACCACGTTATAACCGCAAACTATTTAATCTGAACGGCCCCCCTGATTTTTTGTCTCCCCTTCGTGCGTTTGCCTTCTATAGGAATCCTGCCAGTTACCCTTAATGACCACCGGTTATCCTGCCTACGTGCTACGTGTCCGACTCATGTACATTTCTTTTTCTTCATTTCAACTATGATATCCTTAACCCCGATTTGTTCCTTGACCCAATCTGCTCTCCTCTTGTCTCATAAGGAACACCTATCATTTTCTTTCTATCGCTCGCTGCGTCGTCCTCAATTTAAGCTGATTCCTCTTTGTAAGCCTCCAGGTTTCTGCTCCGTAAGTAGTAAAGACTAGCAACATGCAGCTGTTATATACCTTCCTCTTGAGTATTAATGCCACATGACCATTCATGGCTTGAGAATGCTTGCCGAATGTAATCTACCCCATCCTTATTTTCCTAGTTATTTACCTATTATGCTTCGGCTCTACTGTTACTACCTGTCCTTAGTAGACATATTCCTTCAACTTACAATTCTCTCCACGCATCGCAAAGTGGTGTTTCTGCCGAGACTATTGCACATTACTTTAGTTTTGCGCATATTAATTTTCAGCATGACGGCTGATATTTCTACTGAATCAAACGCCTTCTCGTAACCTACATAGCCTTCATAGATTACGAGAAGGCGTTTGATTGAGTAGAATATCAGCCGTCCTGCAGACTCTGCGGAATCAGAGCGTCGATGAAGTATATATAAACACAATGCGAGAAATCTACATGGGATCAACTGCTACCTTGATGCTTCATAAAGAAAGCAACAGAATGCAAATCAAGAACGGTGTAAGGCAGGGGGGCACAATCTCCCCAATGCTGTTTACCGCGTGTTTACAAGAGGTTTTCAGAAGCCTAAAATGGGAGCAGGTAGGGATAAGAGTTAATGGAGAGTACCTTAGTAACCTACGCTTTGCCGATGATATTGCATTGCAGAGTAACTCAGGGGACGAATCGCAACTCATGATTACGGAGTTAGGCAAGGAGAGCAGAAAGGTGGGTCTTAAAATTAATCAGCAGAAAACGAAAGTAATGTGCAACCACCTCGGAAGAGAGCAGTGCTTCGAGATAGGTAATAGTGCACTTCGAGTTGTAAAGTGACTATGTTTACATATGGCAGGTAATAACCGAGCCGAACCACGAGATTGAAGTAACTAGAAGAATAGGAACGAGGTGGAGCACATTTGGCAAGCACTCTCAATTTATGACAGGTAGATTGCCACTATCCCTCAAGAGGAAGGTATATAACAGCTGTATCTTGACGGTACTTAGCTACGGAGCAGAAACTTGGAGACACACAAATAGGGTTCAGCCTAAATTGAGGATGACGCAGCGAGCAATAGAAAAAAACATGGTAGGTGTAACCTTAAGAGACAGGAAGAGAGCAGAGTGGATTAGGGAACAAACGGGGTTTAAGGATATCATAGTTCAAATCTAGAAGAAGAAATCGACATGGGTCGGGCATGTAGTGCGTAGGCAGAATAACAGCTGGTCATTAAGCATAACTAACCGGATTTTCAGAGAAAGCAAACGGGTTAGGGGGAGACAGTAAGTCAGGTGGGAAGATGAGATTAGGAAGTTCGCGGTTACATAATGGCAGCAGCAAGCACAGGACCGAGTCGAGTGGTGATTCATGGCAGAGGCTTTTTTCCTGCAGTGTACGTAGTCAGGATGATTATGATGATGATGATGATGATGATGAATTTTCAGGCATACTTTTCTGATTTCTGTGAGCAGTTTAACAATGATAAACTCTAGTTCGTCCTCTGAGTTACTCATCAAGGCAATGTCACCATTGAATCACCGGTTACTAAAATACTCTCCATTAACCCTTATCCCTAACTATTGCCAGTCTATAGGGTCCTGAATACCTCATGTGAACACGCCGTGAATAGCATCGAAAAGCATCATGTCTCCCTGTCTTACACCATTCTTTATTGGTATTCTGTCACCTTCTTAGAGGAGAACTACGGTGGCTGTGAATCATTTGTAGATTTCTTCCAGTACGTTTAGGTAGAGTTCTTCGATGCCCTGATTTTGTAGTGCCTACTTTACTGCTGATGTCTCGACTGAGTTAAACGCCTTCTCGTAATCTATGAAAGCTATGTATAAGTTGGTTGTATTCTGCACATTTCTTTATTACCTGATTGATTGTATGAATATGGTCCATTGCGAAATAGCCGGTACGAAATCCTGCTTGGTCCTTTGGTTGCTTTAACTCTAAAATCACCCTAGCTCTATTCGCTATTTTTTGTAAATGGTTTGTAGAGAATGGATAATAAGCTGATCTGCCTGTAATATTTGAAATCTTTGACGTCTGTTTTCTTATGGATTAAGATGATGGCATTCTTCCAAGATTCGGGCACCCTTTCTGTCAAGAGACACTGTTTATATAAGGTAGCTAGTTTTTCTAACACAATCTATCCTCCATCTTTCAGCCGATCTGATGTTACCTGATCCTCACCAGCAACTTGGCCTCTTAACATTCCCTTCAAAACTTTTCTCACTTCTACCATTGCTGGTGGGATGTCATCTGGGTTACTGCAAGTTCTTGTAATAAGGTCGTGGTTGTCCCGACTACTGTACAGATCTCTCTAAACCTCCTCCGCTATTTTAACTGCCCTATTCTTGTTGCTAGTTAATTTGCCTTCCTTGTCCCTCAATGCATACATCCGATTTTTTCCTATCTCTAGTTTCACAACTTCTCCGCCATCTTTCAGGAGGTCCATTGTTACCTTATCCTCACCAGTAGATGTGCCTCTTTGCATTCCATCTAAGGTTGTCCTTACTTCCCCTGTCTTTACTGGTAGGATGTCGAACTCATCTGATCCATTATTGTTTCTCACATATTATCCTGGTTCTTTTGACTTCTGTACAGCTCTCTGTAGAAATTCTCCGCCATCTCCACTATCCTATCCAGATTGGTTATGACGCTGTCTTCCTTGTTCCTCAACGCATACATTCGATTTTTCCCCTATTCAGAAGTCTGCCTTCACAGCTTTTAGGCTTCTCACACTTTTTGAAACCTGCTCAGTTCTTTCCACGATTTGGTGCCTTCAGGTGAAATAGAAAAAAATTTATTTCTAAGCTGCCAGTTTGTGATAAGATCACGTGCTACGAGAAGACAACAGGCAGGAAAAGAGTGCTCCATACTTGTCATAACTATTAGTAATGCTGACAAGTACTCTCAGGTTTCAAAGCACATCATAAACTAGACGGGAAGACGACCACCACTGAAGCTCATTTGGTAGAGCAGCGAACCCGTTTTTCGAAGGTCGCAGGTTCGGTCCCTGCCAGCCGCAGGGACCGAGACTTTTCGACTGCTTTTCGACCACTTTTCAGTCTTAAAATTTACTTTACTATTACTTCTTGTAACAACTCCTATACTTTCCTCGGATTGTTGTCTGTTACTTCTCAGCTATATTTATTCAAGGCAGGGTTATATTAGTCCGGAGACGTACCAATTTCTGGATTACGTGATTCATTTTCCAACTGGTTTTCTGAAAAGGACAAGAGTGAATATATTACTGGCATGCAGAATGGCCAAAAACGACCCTTATGTTTTTCAAGGGACCAGAAGTGCGCGACTACTTCATAAACTTCAAGTGGCTAGCAGTGCGCGATAGCGAATTTCAAAACACAATCGAATCAAATTGTCCTTGAACTTGTTTACGAATAATAAGGCAGCTATTCTCAAAGCAGAGCTAAAATGACAATGTAACATTTTTCTAAATAGCCAAAGAATTGCAAAATGCTTGATTTGAAACAAATATTCATTCTATTCAACAAAAGAACATTGCTAGTATTTTAACCAGCAAAAATGTCACTGTTCGACATAAGGCCATAGCGATGAATGCGATAGCAACACATCGAACTGTTATACGAAGTAAGGCTAGGAGATTTACGAAACATACGAAATGTAGCGAACGTGGTCGATTATACTCAATTCTCGGAAAAGGACGTAATTTCATCCCCGTTCTATTCCATGCAAAATGCGCTTAATTACATTTCTCCAAGTATTGTCGCCCTTCCATTCCGGGGCCGCAAAAATGTGAAATGATTCCGAATTCATTCCGATTCTGGATTGGCAACTCCGCAGCAATGATATGAGCCATGGTTGTGCATTTGTCATCACCATCAACAAAACTGCATGCGTATTTGAGGGCTTTCAGAGCGGCTGCAACAAGGCAACGCAGACAAGCGGAACCAGAGTTGCAGGCTCGGGAAGCTTGCTGCATAAAGACAGCGCTGGCAAACTGACCCGGAGTTGAAGACTCGCGAAGCTGCAGCGGCACGGCAGCGCCGGCTAAGCGAACCCGGAGGCTGCGAGAGTGCGGGAAGCAGCTGCCAAACGCCGAAGGCGTTGCGCACTGCTACTGCTACCCACCCAAACGTCATCACTTACCCGTTTTAAACGCACAGGAAGGTTTGACACGTTTCCTCTAAGTGATTGAAAGAGGCTAAGTGATACCCGCGATTCGAACACTCACCATCATTCACTTCCTGGATATGTGGTGATTTATTTATTAAGTGCATCTTGCAAAGTATTTTGCTATTTCTCCAGTTTTACTAGTATCGGGCCCGCGCAAGAAGCATCGAAGAAACACAACTTCAATAAATTGTCATGGGAAGATATTTCCTGAGCTCTCCTTCAACAGCCCATGTGTCCTTGTGTTCAGGTACTTTGAAATGTTACAATTGGTGTCCTTCTTCGTACAGAAAGTAAGATACATACCTGGTGGCTCACACACAGTTCTGTGATAAAGTCGTTGATCTCGGCATTGACACATACATACATACATACATACATACATACATACATACATACATACATACATACATACATACATACATAATCATCATCATCATTATTTACCCTTAAAGGCCCCTGTTGGGGTATTACGCAAGGGGGGAGCTAGCATACACAAGAGAAAAAAAATTGAAACAGTCATTAGGAAAGCCAAAAAAGAAATAAAATTTACAATGAAATAATCAAAATGCACGTAAAAGATAATGCGCTCAAGATGAAAACACAATTACACAAAAATCTCAATTCATTACGCATCAGCACTCAATAAACTTGTTTCAAAATTTGATGGGTTGATGTACAATTACAACACTGTCACGTAAACTATTCCATTCTGCAATGGCTATTGGCAAGAAGGAGTTGTTGTACGAATTGGTAGAGCATTGAATTTTTTAAAGACTGAGGAAGCGGGACAGGTGGCTTAATGTGTGGTTTGGTGGGAGAAGAAACATGTCACGTAAGTGTGGAAAGTTACAATGGAGCTTATGAAAGAGGCATAAGCGAGAGGTTTTTTTGCGAAGTGATAACAATTTAATGTCAAGGGATGATTTGATACTTGTGACACTTAGCCGACGGTCGTACTGGGATATAATAAAACGGGCTGCGTGGTTTTGGACAGCTTCAAGTAGGTCAACAATGTACGCTTGATGTGGGTTCTATATTGCCGATGCGACTTCCAGTTTAGTGTGTGTAAATATATCGTAAGCAAGTTTTCGGATCAAAGGTGGTGATGATGATAGGGACCGTCTAATAGATCCCAGAGATATGTTTAGTGGTGGCTACCAGATTATGAATATGTTCGAACCATTTGAGCTTGCTAATGATGGTAACCCCGAGGTACCCGTATGAATCAATCAGATCAATAGGAAGAGAATGCAAAGAGTAGGTGTAGGGCATGAGAGTGTTTCAGCGACACGTGCATGAATTTACATTTTTTTTTGGCGTTTAGTTGCATGAGCCACAGAGTGCACCATTTTTCAATTGTTTTGAGGTCAAGTTTTAAAAGCATGTGATCGTTATGAGAGGTAAGGTAGCATACATACATACATACATACATACATACATACGTACGTACATACATACATACATACATACATACATACATACATACATACATACATACATACATACATACATACATACATACATACATACATACATACATACATACATACATACATACATACATACATACATACATACATACATACATACATGCACGTGTACTCCGATTTGGGTGCACGTTAAGAACCCCAGGTGGTCAAAATTTCCGGAGTCCTCCACTACGCGTCTCTCATAATCAAATGGTCGTTTTGGGACGTTAACCCCACAAATCATTCAATCAATCTTCAATCAGCATACATACATACATACATACATACATACATACATACATACACACATACGTACATACATACGTGCATACATACATACATACATACATACATTTATACATACATACATACATACATACATACATACATACATACATACATACATACATACATACATACATAAATACATACATACATACATACATACATACATACTAAGCCGGGAGGAAGGGTGCAGTCAGCAGAAAGCTTGCAGCTTACCGACATCATTCACGACTTCATAAATCCCAGTTTCGACGTGGATTAGTGATATTCGGTGCGCCAGTCTTTTCTGTGATGTGCGTTCCCAATTCTCACAAGGTTCAATTCTGTGAGTGTGATTCACCATGCCTGTCTGAAAAATAAGAGCGGTTTTCCTGTCCCAGTTGTTGCATGGCATATTTTACAGCATTGAACTTGTTCCACTTGCTGACTTTTTGTTTATTTCTTGTTTCGTTGATCTATTTGTTGATTTCTGAAAAATGGCAATAACAAGAACTTTCCCCAGTGTAAATATTACATGAGCTCTTTGTCGATTCTGTCTTGTATAAACAAATTGTCATGTACGGATGTATAGCCAGCAGTTTGTTTCGGTAGGGTAGTAGGAGAAGGGAGGTCAAGTCCTCTGTGTGCGCTTGCATGCTTGTACAAGATACAGGCTAACAGTGAGGATTTCGAGGTATTTCGAACACATCTACTTAGCAGTGCCCAAAATGAGGGCTACTTGGGGAAACAGCGTGTAACTTAAAACTCTTTACTCACGACATGATAATTTCCTGGAACTACCGGCTTGAGCAGCAGTGATGCCAGCTTGTCCGGATCTTCGAACAAGTGTCTCTCATAGTGGGAGCCATGAACCTGCGTATAACTTGTGTGAACACTTTCACGTGACTGTGAACTTCCATGTGAACTTGCGCATAACGTCTGTGAACACTTATGCTTGAAATAAATAGTGAATAGTCATTAAATCAAAAAGCGCCATACCTGCTCGGTAGGAGCAGTCCGTCATAGCGAAAGCTATAACAGCGGCCTATCAGAGCCTTTTCAAAACACTCTTCGGGTAATTACTGCAAGCACTTTTTCTTGGTACCGACTAGGGCATTATTAATAAACTTTTAGGTAGTAGACAGGCCTCCGCTATGCTATTTTTTGTCATTCTTATGAAAAGCGTGGCATCTGCAAAACACTTCCTAGGAATTTTGTGCCAATTGTCCATGCAGTGGCTGACGACGATGAGGAACTATGGCTGAAGTGGGTATGCGCCACAGTTAAGAGGGGAACAAGACCAAGCTTTTTGTGATGGTTTGGAGCATTGACGGCCCAGCTCGTTACGCTACTTGCATTGTGCGACGACTGGTTGTTCTTTCGCTGTTGTAAAACGCTTTATAAGTCGTATTAACGCGATTGCTTTCCCGAAATCAAGCCTGCTTAAGGCAAGCGTGACAACAAGTCACAAGCACCGGTGTAGCCAGCTGTTGGAAACTGTTGGAAAAAAATACGATGAAAAAAAATTGTGTAGCTCAGTGGTAGAATACTGGGCAGGATCCCAGCAGACCGCGGTTTGAGCCCCACTGTGCCATTGGTGCAAGGGTTGTTTTTCTTTTCTACCTTCGAGCGATGTTGTTACAGACGGCAGCGGTGGTGGTGGCTGACAACTGCGCGTGACCCGAAAAGTAATCTTATAAACGCGGTACGGCTCAGTGTAAACAGGTGAAATTTATATTACACTTTTATTTCACGTTTATATGTGCGTTGGTCTGACCCCCCTCCTCCCCTTCTAAAAGTATCTTGGGCAAAAAGGTTACAGAAGCACTTACAGTAGATTATTCGCAAGCCCCCTAGTTACTTCAGATCTCTGATCAGCGCTGAAGAGCTTGAAGGGTGCGCAATTTAAGAATATATGCTTCACGAGGTGACGCGTTATGAATATAGGATACAATCGAACACAAACGTTTCCGGACGGCACGAGTGCTAGGCTAAAAGCCTCTTCACGACATTATCACTACGTTAGCGGTAGTCGATAGCACGAGAAGCATGTCTCCCTATTCCAGGCCCGGTCTCTTTTCTGGCTGGGTACAAATAATTTTAACTCTTCGCTTTCCAATGCGACTGCGCTTTTTGGCATCTTCATCTACGTGCTTTCTGCTTCGAGAACAGACTATGAGCATACAGTTTATCGGTCGCACTCTTCATTACGAAGTGACACCTCGACAATGGTATGCCGTTTCAGGCACGCCAAGTTAGATTTTATCCTGCTATGAAAGAAGAACTGTGACGGCCATACTGCAAAAAAGCGCTTAGCGCGAAAACTTCAATCTAACAATGCTCTACGCGGCAGCAGAAAATTGAAAGGCCAGTGAATATCAAGAAGACCCATTTCCGGCCTCGCCCTGCAGTCGATGGTAGATGGCGCGCCGCTAGATGATGCGGACAAATGGTGCGCCGCTAGATGGTGCGGACGTGGGACAAATGGCGCGCCGCTAGATGGCGCACGGCTAGATGGTGCGGAGGTGGGTGATACGTTTGTGGTGATCACAAACGTATCAAGCTAAGTTTTGGAAGAACAGTGAAAGTGGGAAGGAGACAAGATGAGCAACTACAGGAAAATTTTTATCCAGAAAGGCCAATTAAAATAGCCGCTAAACGAATTGACAAAGTAATCACGGAGGATAATAAAACAGTGTGGACATACACGAACCTAATTAGACTGTTTGAGCTAGAGCTTTCTAAGACGCATGACAATTCACCCCGGCAAAGAAGACACAAACCTGAAAATTGGTGGGATGAGGAAGTTAAGAAAGCCTTAGCAAAACGTCAGGAAGCCTCTAGGAAACACAGATATGCTAAGCAGCGGGGTGAACCGACAGATGATGCTGAAAGAAAATGGGAAACCTTTCTAAGCTGTAGAAGGGATGCATCCCTTCTGATCAATGAAAAGATTAGAAGAAAGGGAGCTCAGTGGCTGGCAGAAGTACATAAAAAAGATAGAAAGGCAGCTGCGAAATTTTGGAACCATCTAAACTCCCTAAGCAATGAGACGAGCCTAGAGCAGAGGTTTATAACTACCACCCAAGGTGCTAGGCTAGAAGGGGACGAAGCTATTGAATATATAAGAACAAAGGTGACAGAAAAATTTTGACAAAGAAGTGCTTTATGCACCACAATAGAGAAGGTGAATCAAGTGGTGCAAAGGCTCAATTTTCACAACGAGAGTGGGAAAGGGCTGAGAAAAGGGTTCCTAGTAGTACATCAACAGGCTCAGATGGCATTCCAATTATGCTGATAAAGACATTAGGTCCGAAGTCTAAGCATGCTTTCAGAGAGGCAATGAGCGTACTAATAATCGATGGTGAAGTACCCTATGAATATAAACTTAGCAGGATGAGCATGATCTATAAAGAAAAGGGGGATAAAGCTGAGATAATTACCTACTGTCCTATAACAGTGACATCAGTGGTCTACAGGCTGGCGATGCAGATTATAAAGGAAAGACTGCACTGCAGGCATAGATAGAGGATGATGGGGTGCTGGGGGAACTGCAGAATGGGTTTCAGAAACACAGGAGGTCGGAAGACAATGTGTTCTGACTGACGCAGTGCATCGAAATAGCAAAAAAGGAACATATGCTCCTGTGGCTAGCATTTTTGGATATCAAGGGAGCGTACGATAGCGTGGTTCAAGAGGAACAGTAGGAAATACTGGACACACTAGGCGTGCAACGTGTAGTCATTAATATTTTAAAGGATATCTATAAAGGTAACAAGGTAGTTATAAAGTGGGAAAAACAGGTTTCCAAGCCTGCAGAGGTAAAACGGGGGCTTAGGCAGGGGTGTCCCCTGTCACCCTTATTATTCATGATGTACCTACAAGGATTAGAGGCCAAATTAGAGAGAAGTGGACTGGGCTTCAACCTCTCTTTAGTCAAACAAGGAAAACTCACTGATCAGGCACTACCAGCATTAATGTACGCAGATGACATAGTGCTAATGGCCGACAACAAGGAAGATTTGCAGAGATTGATGGACATCTGCGGTAATGAGGGAGATAGGTTAGATTTTAGATTCAGTAAGGAAAAATTAGCAGTCATGATTTTCAATGATAATGAAGATAGTGAGCTTAGAATAGAGGAGGTCACGCTAGAGATAACAGATAAATACAAATATCCGGCCGTATGGATAAGCACTGGGACCGAGTACCTAAGGGAACACGAAATATACGTGACTACTAAAGGTAACAGGAATGCAGCAGTGATGAAAAATAGGGCACTGTGGAATTACAATAGGTATGATGTTGTGGGAGGAATAGGGAAAGGCGTCATGGTTCTTGGTCTGACGTTCGGCAATGCGGTCTTGTGCATAAGATCAGAATTTCAAGCAAGATTAGAAATTAAGCAACGTGGAATGGGTATAAGGCTTGCTTTAGGAGCTCGCGGGAATACACCAAATCAGGGAGTACAAGGTGATATGGGATGGACATCATTTGAGGGCAGGGATGCTAGCAGCAAGATAAAATTTGAGAAGCGATTGGGAGAAATTGGGGAGGAGCGTAGGGCTAGGAAGGTTTTCAGCTACTTGTACATGAAGAATGTCGATACAAAATGGAGGAAGGGAACCAGGAAATTGAAATGTAAATACTCACAAAACAGCAGGTGGCCAAACCGAAAAGAACTATCGGTTAAGAAGAAAGTGAAGGAAACGGAGACTGACATGTGGAGAATTGGCATGATTAAGAAGTCCGCACT